GCCTCGGTCAGCAGAGGACTGGGGCCCTGGGCCCTGCGGCCAGGGGCGCCAGACAGGCCAGGGGAACCCGGGGGCAGGGCGGCCTGGACACAGACAACAGGCAGAGCCAGCTGCGGGAGCCCCAGACTCCACGGTGCGGAGGGCACTCGCCTCGGAGGACCTCATTTGCCAGGTTAGAGACTCTGGATTCTGTCTTGGTCAGACAGGAAGTCACCGGAGCACTTTCACAGTGCAGTGGTGTGGGGTGTGTGCGTGTGGTGTAAAAAGACAGGAGCCTGCCGCACTAGTCAAGACCACACACCATGGCGGCTCGGATCGGGTGGCCGAGGCATAACTAGTTCAGTAATTCTAGTATGCGGTTGCACACTTATTTTCCCCTAAAAATATCCCTTTCACTGGCATTTACTGAACACCTACTAAGTAAGGCTTTGCGCTACGCCGTTTTACCAATGTTAACTCCACCCTAGTGCACAGAACCTATGATATATGAAGGCTCCAAGGAAGTTTTCATCAAGCCTCTTGATGAAAGTGAAAGAGGAGAGTGAAAAAGCTGGCTTAAAACTTAACATTCAGAAGACTAAGATCATGGCATCCAGTCCCATCACTATATGGCAAATAGATCGGGAAACAGTGGAAACAGTAGCTGACTTTATTTTGGGGGGCTCCAAAATCACTGCAGATGGTGATTACAGCCATGAAATTAAAAGACACTTACTCCTTGGAATAAAATTTATTACCAACCTAGATAGCATATTAAAAAGCAGAGACATTACTTTGTCAACAAAACTACATCTAGTCAAGGTTGTAGTTTTTCCAGTGGTCATGTATGGATGTGAAAGTTGGACTATAAAGAAAGCTGAGTGCCTAAGAATTGATGCTTTTGAACTGTGGTGTTGGAGAAGACTCTTAAGAGTCCCTTCGACTGCAAGGAGATCCAACCAGTCCATCCTAAAGGAAATCAGTCCTGAATATTCATTGGAAGGACTGTTGCTGAAGCTGAAACTCCAATCCTTTGGCCACCTGATGCAAAGAACTGACTCATCTGAAAAGACCCTGATGCTGGGAAAGATTGAGGGCAGGAGGAGAAGGGGATGACAGAGGATGAGATGGTTGGATGGCATCACCCACTCAATGGACATGAGTTTGAGTAAGTTCCAGGAGTTGGTGATGGACAGGGAGGCCTAGCAAGCTGCAGTCCATGGGGTCGCAAAGAGTCGGATACGACTGAGCGACTGAACTGAACTGAAGGAAGTTTAAATCATGTATCACAGCCTCATTGTTTTATAGATGTGGAATTAAAAATCCAGAGAGATTAGGTGATTTACCCAAGATCATATACCTAATTAGGTCAAAACAAGGATTCAGTACTCAGTTATCCTCATTTTATCAAAGAGGACATTCAAAATCAGTGGTTCTACTGACTTATGAAAATAACCTACAGCGCCCTTATTTATTCCCCTTTGCTTGGTCCGATTTAAAAATAACCACACAAAACTTCTTTCAAACATGTCCTGATGGTTAATGCTTATGAGAATCACTTCTAAAGGGAGTGTTTTTGAAGTTTCTAAAATAACTCTTTGCCTTAGGAAGTCTATATAAAAGACTGCTGGCATCGTCCATTGATGAGAAGTTCTGCACATCTATAGATAAACTGATAGAAAAACACGGACCTTCTCTAACCAAAATACCTCCTGAAGACTGAAAACAGTATTTGTCCAACTGAGAAGACAGGCTTGGTCTACCTGACCAATTACTGGCGATTCCAACAACTTAGTATAGTCTGCCCGTTCCCACGGAGAGGAAGACGTGGTGCAGTCATTCTTGGGACAAATAAAGGATCTAGAATCATGAAGGGTAGCTTTATTTTTAACGTAAACAGGAAACTTGGTGAGATATTTCCAACTACAGTAGTTTCTTAACTTTGTATGACGTAGAGAAATTAAGAAGGAAATAAAACAGAACTTGATAAGAACACTCTGATTTGTGTCCTGAATTGAAGCCGTGTGGTGGATTTCCTGTTATGAAATATTCCTCTCCCCCTGCCCCCACCCCAGTCCAAACTTGATCTGAATCTCGGCCCTCTGTAGTTACCACTGAGCTTGAACCTTCCCCCAGCACCCTGCAGCAGGACTGCCAAAACACTGTATAACTTGCATTTTTTTCTTTTGGAAAACTTGGAAGGGATTTTAAGGCCCTGAGGAGCTGAAATATGCCCCCAGCCTAGTAAGGACATTTTATAAAAATGACAAGTGGGCAGTCACACTGGCTCCTGAGATCAGCAGTTAGAGCCCCTTGTAAGGTAATAAGTGTGGAAAGAGCCGTTTCCCAATCATCGTGTTCATTCCATGCATATTAGGAGACAAGAAAATCCAACTGTGGGCCAATCCTCCCCTAAGAATCCTTTAGTTTAATTACAACCACAGTATATGAAACATTTGCAAGACATCCACTCTCAGCAGTGAAAGGAAGAGAGGAAACTCCTTCCTACTAAAAAGACAGGGAAGGAAGCACTTCTGGTTCTAAAACCTGGTTGAAAATTCAATTTAACTGACGACCAGGCCACTGCACCTCTTGTAAATGAACATCTTTTTTGCTGCTAATTTTGTGCTATTTTACCTTTCATTTAAAAAAAAAGAAGTAATTCAGGTTAAACTCAGCGGAACAGCAAAAAAAAGCTCTTGATATTTTGAAGCATTTTGAACAATTACTTTGACAGGAGCCCTTGACAGTTAAATGACTCCATTAAATGAATGTTATAGAAGACACATAATGATTTTTAGTGAAATATTGAATTTAACCACAAATGAGGAAAAACCAGTCATAAGCACCATGGGTGTATTTGAATAATAACATCTTGCTTATGAACCTCAGTGGATTCTGTAATTTCTAATAATCATGCAATCAACCATTTAGCTGTTGAGTATGACTCCCATCTTAGCGTTCTCTATTCATTTATGCTTTTTGCTTTTGCAGTTGTTGGTGAATCTAAAAATCCGTATGAAAATTTTGAAAACTGGCAATAGATCCCTTTGGCATCAGCATGATATTTTAGAGTTGGGCGATTAATGAATTGCTGTCCCACAACTGAAGTCTTCCTTTTTCCTTTTTCTCATTTGCTGAATGAGATTCTTTCACAAAGTAAAAAAATCGGCAAGAGCCTGCTGCCTGAGAACATGGGGATTCACTGTACACTAGCGTTTCCTCCATCTGCGGGACTCAATATTCCTTTTCTTATTTTATGGATTGAGTGTGAGATAACGATCGAGACTTTTACATGTTTTCTCATGACTAACGACTGAAGTATGTGCTGAAATAATAAAACTGGTACTGTTCAATTTCCTCTTTAAATTCAACTCCAATATAAGTGAGAGTGCCCTTGTGATGGGGAAATCTGGCTTATTAGAAAACTCTGTTTTCTGGAGAAGAGGAGGAGCTAGAAAACCTTGTAGACTTAAAACGTGTGGGTGAGGTGCTGGTTGCAGGGGAGGACCCTGGGGTTGAAGCATTGAGTCAGGAAACCAGGAACATTTTGCTCTTGATCTCCTCTGCAGTGAGGAGCAGCTCGCGCGCGGGAGGCCCTGCCTGGCTCAGCGCTTCCTGATCCTTCCGAGCAGGTGAGGCCCCGCCTCCCCGAGTTGCCACGGCTCCCCGCGCTCAGCGGCCTTCAGCACTTGTCCGTTTCCACTTTCACTGCCGGCTTACACTAGACGGTCGCTCTTTGAGGACAGGGAATGTCTTTTCATTTTGCAACACTCCCTCCACCACCAACTTTCTGAGGCATGATAAAACTGGTCAGCACACATCCTTTAGACCAAAGTACCCTAAATATTTATTATCTTCAGCCGACGGAACGCTTGGGAAAGGCCAGATAGCTTAAGTATCTGATCCGCCTGCAATGCGGGAGACCTGGGTTCAATCCCTGGGTTGGGAAGATCCCCTGGAGAAGGGAACAGCTGCCCACTCCGGTATTCCAGCCTGGAGAATTCCAGGGACTGTATAGTCCACGGGATCCCAAAGTGTTGGACACGATTGACGACTTGCACTAAATATCTGATCCTAGCTAAAGGCAAGGCCAGGTACACAGCAAGATGCCTGACTGAGGTCTTCCTACAACCCTGCTCACTCAAGTATAGTCCATAGACCCGCAGCTGTATCACCGGAAGCTCTCCAAACACCACATCACGGGTCCCAGCAAAGACCCCCTGAATCAGAATCTGCCTGACAGCAAGATCCCGAGGTGACCTGTGCACAGTGAAGCTTGACAAGCATTCATACGACCAGTATGTAGCCTGAGGACGCGATGGTATGTGGGATGGTGGACAATAGGAGGCCATGGCCATGTGATTAATACAGAGGTCTGCAGGGAAGCTTTTAGAGCTCTCTCAGGAGAGAGACTCAACGCTCACAGGTGGGAAACTCACTTACACCAGCTCCCTGGGAACCCTTTCTAGGTACTTCTTCACGCTCTTTCCTGTTTAAAGACACAGCTGCTCTTAATAATTGTCTTTTCTCCTTGGTGCAAAGAGAGTATTTATCGTCAGCATGCCGACATGTGCAGGAGTTTTGGTTTCCTCCCTCAACATGTGGATGACTGAAAGGATATTGCTGACACCTGAATAAGAAATCCAATGACTTCAAGCTATGTAAATTTAATTATTTCCTTTAATTTTTCTTTCAGGAATCTTTTTCTCTTCCTGAGCTTTGGGGAAGTCCTAGAAATTTTCATTTAAAAGAAATACAAGTCAGCAGTGGTTTGCTGAACAGGCTGACTCGCAGTTTCATGCAGGGAGAGGCGTTGTGTCTTTAATCTAATTTGTGCTCCCAATTTCCAGCTAATGTATCAAGGGATCCTGGTGTAGGCATTTACAAGGAGACATCCATAAGGCTGAGTCCAGCTCTCTGCAATTCTCTAACACATGGCTAACCAAAAAAAAAAAAAAAAATTAGTCTGGCTTCTTGTAGCTGCCCCCTAACATGAAAAAAAAAATTGCTGTACTCACAGATGTAGAAGTATTCCCGGCCTGGTCTGAATTCGAATCCCAGAGAAAAGGGTGTGAAGAGCTGGAACTTCTCGGAGAACTTGAGCGGCCCATTGGGAGAGTGGGGCCGGTTGCACTCCCACCTCTTGAACCCTTTGGACGTGTGGTCGCAGGCGCTGTAGCCGTCAAAGTTCACCATATAGAGGACGTAGCGCTCCGTCTTGTCTTCCGGGACGGAGTCCTCGTAGTGCGGGCAGAAGACATCCAGGTAGTCGTTGATGCAGACGTCAATGTGGTAGTCGCCCCTCTGGAACCTGCGGGAAGAGGAGAGCGGCACGGTTATTCACAGAGCAAAGGCTTCCTGCTTGGGATTGGCGGTTCAACGCTTCAATCGTGCTCAGGCTAGAAACATGTATTATAGCAAGTGTTTATTTGGGGCCATATGATTTGAGGAAGAATTGATGCTTTTGAACTGTGGTTGGAGAAGATGCCTGAGAGTCCCTTGGACTGCAAGGAGATCCAACCAGTCCATCTTCAAGGAAATCAGTCCTGGGTGTTCACTGGAAGGACTGATGCTGAAGCTGAAACTCCAATCCTTTGGCCACCTGATGCGAAGAGCTGACTCATTGGAAAAGACCCTGATGCTGGGAAAGATTGAGGGCAGGAGGAGAAGGGGACGACAGAGGATGAGATGGTTGGATGGCATCAGCGACTCGATGTACATGAGTTTGAGTGAACTCCGGGAGTTGGTGATGGACAGGGAGGCCTAGTGTGCTGCGGTCCATGGGGTCACAAAGACTCAGACACGACTGAGCAACTGAACTGAGCTGATCATTTGAGGCATGGTTTGACATGTTGCTGTTCCAAATCTTAAGTAACAGCAAGCCATTCTCTGGAGGAATTGTACTGTATTTGTTTACAAACACCTTGCCAACGGAGCACCTCGCTTTCACTTTAAGCATGAAAGGTACTGACGGACTGTTTTCCTTTCACGGTTAAAATCATATATATATTGAAGCAAACTTTTCATATTTCTAAAGCAGTGTTTCCTTTAATAAATGTTTTTGAATAAGTAATTTAAAGAATAAATGGCATTTGTTATAATTGAGAGCCTTCTTCATTTCCTATGCAAAAATGTGGAAAATGAGAGTGATAAAATTGAGAGAATTAGAATCGCAAAGTTTAAAAGTTGAAAACTAAATTCCTAGAACACTTCCCCTTCAGAGGCAAATTAAACCCAAAGGCATAATGATGAAGCAACGAGCCACTGAACTAGACCCAGAATGGAGACTCTGGATCCTAGTTGGTGTCTCTCTCAGAAAATCTGCTTTGTCACAAACTTGTTTTAGCCGCTCTCTGTTTGGATGCCCTGCCCCTTTCCCTGCCAAACTGAAGCCACCTAAGTCAAATGACTTTTCCCCTTATTTCTTTCAGTTTCATAGGCTGTGTTCTAGGGCTGGACTGAGCAGCAGGGAAAGAAGCAAGTCAACCAAGGCCACCCCATCCTGAAAGAGCTAAAAGGTATGCACACACACACACCACTGCACACACCACAGCGTCTGCTTCAATTATGATCTTAGAAAAGTTTTGTGTATTTGTTTTAACTAATGTGCCTTTCCCCATCAACTGAACAGTTTTTCCCAGGACCCAGTGGTGTGTGAAACAGGAATTGTTATGTACACAACTTTCTAAAATCAGAAACAAAAGCCCTTTGTTTCTAGCTGGTGAGGAAATTCTTCTGTGAGCCCTTAGGAGGGTCATGATAAAACCACATTAGTGCTGAAATACAGTGCCCATAAAGTCATATAATCTTCACACCAGTCTCAGGGAGAACGGTTCCCGGTGACGGTAAGCTAGTCTCTTCCATTTTCAGACATCGCTAGATGTTAGCGAGTTTCTCCTTATATTGAGCATAAATCTACCTCTGTGTGATTTCCATCCAGTGATCCTACTTCTGCTGCCTGAAATTGCAAAGGGCAAATCTAATTCCTCTTCCACCAGGTAGTCCATAAACCATTCGGAGATGTCAGCTGTGTCTCTGTACCGCCCTTTCTCCAGACTTGAAAATCCTGATCCCTTTGTTTATTTCTGATAGAGTTTCCAGACTCCTCATCATGCTAGCATTTTGACCCTCTTCACGTCTTCTAGTTTGCCAGTGTTCTTACAATGTAGCATATCGAGGACCACAGGCTGTTGTGAACGCTGGTCCCTTTGCTCTGGATGCTAAATATTCATCGACAAACTCAAGGTTCCCTTGTGAAACACACCATGCTAAGAGAGGTAAAGCTCCTTATTTTGAGCGAGCAGAACAGGATTTAAGGACTTGATCTGCTGCTGACTGAACAGGAGAGTCATAAGCCATCCTGAGCCTCAGTTTCCTCACGTGTTAAGTAGAATAATAATGAGAATCCACCTTGCTGACCTCACATGGCTGCTTCAGACCTTGGATGAGGAAATGTATGACAAGCACATGTGAATAAAAGGCATCATTACTATCAACAGGATAGATTAAAATGAGTAGATAACAAAATATTACTTTTTAAACAGTGGCAGTTAGTGCATAACAGATAAATAAAAATAATCCCCAGGTTTCCCTTTTTAAAAATCCTGGAAGAAAGGATGTCATGTAAAAATCCCAAATTCTGTCCTCAAATATCAAATGGTCCTCAGAAACCCACTTGCTCGATGCTTTTGAAAAGCAGCATGGTGATGTATGCAAGAGAAATAAGGGAAGGTGGCCAGGCCACTTTTCGGTAAGGGGGTCTCAAGGTACATACCCATTTGTAAAAACTAAAAAACCCTTGGAAGTATTTATTTCTTTATATTTACAGTGATCACGAAACCAGGTTTACTTTTTCTTCATTACAGGCAGACAATGATTTGTCAAGATGCAAGGAAAGCCTGTGCTGCTTTTAAAAGGTTTTTGAACATCAAGGTAACATCACTGCCAAGGTACAAAGAAAAGACACCGCCACGTTCAGATAAAAGGGTGCAGCGCCGTGAATCACCAGCACTCAGAGCAGCCTGACAGGTCTGGCTCAGGGCCAGACCAGAACCGCAGCAGAAGGCAATGCCCAGATGCACTTTATATTATTATATTATTATTATAGATTTTAAAGACATTCAAGGGGGAAGTTTTTCCATTCCCTAAGACGTGTCACTCATCTTAGCTTCTACGAGCCCTGGACCCGGCTTAAAAGTGAAAATGAAAAGCACTGCCACCACCCACACCCATTCTGTGATTGCTTTATTCTACAAATTGTCAGGTTTTTTTTGTGCTTCAAATTTAGCTACCCTTTTCTAACTTTTATCTTTGTTAATTCTGCTATAATTTTGATAAACAAACCTTGAGGCTGAATACCCACTTTACACTGGGTTGACCAGTTATCCTTTTCTGGAGACAATTTACTTTGTATGGGGTGTTAAGTAAATCACTCTGGAGCTAATTTTATTTTTTCTTACCTATTTTTTCAAGATGTTTCTTTTTTTCCCTTTTTTTTTTTTTGAAGTTTAATTATTTTAGTTTTATGGCCACAGAGCGTATGGGATCTTAGTTCTCCCACAAGGAATCGAATCTGCACCCCATTGTTGGAAGTGTGGAGTCTTAACCACTGGACCATCAGGGAAGTCCCTGGAGCTGGTTTTTAAATATTATTTTAAATATTTAGATTATCTAAATATTAGATTATTATAATCTAATAATATTAGATTATCCTTCTATGCATACGACAAAGAAATGATTATGATTTACCACAGAAGCAACCTACACTTCTGTTTCACATGTTCAACTTGCATAAATTGGTTTACTAATGTAAATTTCGAACAATGGACATTGTGAACATAAAAGTAATGACAAACTGGAACTCATAAAAGGCATCTGTATAACGTAGCTAAGTACAGAACAAAGAAAGGTTTAGAGTTAGTCTAACACTATCCTAAATTATGCTCCTCAGCTACAAAGAAGCACTGAATCATTCTTTTCTGGCCTTACTGTGAAGAAGCACATGTGTATAGCTAATATTATCGAGTGGCTACTACATTACATTCATTGTCTCATTTAATCTCCGTCACAATCGCACAGAATAGACACTATTAGTACACTGAGTTGGAGATGAGGAAACTGAGATTAAGAAGTCAAGCAACATGCCTAATGTCACAGGAACAAAAAGGGTGGAGGCTGAATTCAAACCCAAGCAGTCAGTCTGGCCTCAGAACTGAGGTTTGATTGCTACAGTCAAGTTCTCAGGTCTTCTCTGAACGTTGCCAGAGGAACGATTCTCACTCTTCATGGGGTTTCAGTTCTCTCCTCCATTCACTGATACAACAAATATTTGTCATGTCCAGAATCTGCTATATTATGGCTTTACATATGTTTTCACGTGAAATCCTTATTGGGTAGTTACAATTAGTTTCATTACACCAATGAGAAAATGACATTCAGAGAAGCTGTTATCCACTTTGTTCAGTCGTTCAGTCGTGTCCAAGTCTTTGTGACCCCATGGACCGCAGCACGCCAGGCCTCCCTGTCCATCATCAACTCCCGGAGTTTACTCAAACTCATGTCCATGGAGTTGGTGATGCCATCCAACCATCTCATCCTCTGTCATCCCCTTCTCCCCCTGCCTCGATCTTCCCCAGAATCAGGGTCTTTTCCAATGAGTCAGTTATTTGCATCAGGTGGCCAAAGGACTGGAGTTTCAGCTTCAGCATCAGTCCTTCCAATGAACACTCAGGACTGATTTCCTTGAGGATGGACTGGTTAGATCTCCTTGCAGTCCAAGGGACTCTCAAGAGTCTCCTCCAAAACCACAGTTCAAAAGCATCAATTCTTCAGCTCTCATTCTTCTTTATTCAATTTTCCCCCCACAGGAAACAAGTAGCAGAGTTAGAATTTCACCCCCAGCCTGATGGGCTCTGAAGCAGGTAACTTCTGTCCTACCCATAGTGGCCTGAATTCCTGGCTATAATTCCCCTCATCCTGTTTACACTGATCTTCTCGGAGAGGCTGTTACAAGGGGCCCAAGCCCTGCTCTCTCTTTCAGTAGGCTAATCCCAGACTCCTGCAGGGAAAACTAAAGGGCGTATCAATGTCTGAATAAGTCCCAGATCACAAGGTTAGCTCCTGACTCATGAGCATCCTTCCAGTCTTTCGCAGGGATGAAGTGCTGTTAGGCTCCATAGCCATTCACACAAAGAGAACGTTTTTCCATCAGGAAACTCCTTTCAGGAGCTGTAGTTCATGTTAAAGGAGCAGAGTCACCTCTGGGAAGAATCGAGTCCACATGCCAATATTTACAAATTTCATGGGAAGCCT